GGCTTTGGCCCGTTTTAGGATTCCTTGGATTATGTAAAGAAAAATGAACCCAAACATAGACTGACAAGACACAGCCTGTAAGAAAACAAGAAAACGGCACAAGGAAGAAAGGGGGTGCACACTGCAGAGGCAAATGTTAGTACTGGCAAGAAGTGAGCTGGAGATTGGATTACAGCCAAAGGAGTGAAGATTCTGCAAAGACTTTATCTGTGTTAATTGTGTGAATTTTTCACGGGGATTAATAAACTGTGAAAACTTACAAAAAAAAAATGAGCTGCCCCAAAAAGAAATGGGTCCAATCCACGTTGGACTGGAACCTCCAAAACTGGGTGCCTACGGGAAACTTTTCTCTTCCTAAGTGGATTAGCTCAGAAATCTGTCATGGGCTACTGGCAGGAGCTAAGGTGCTTGCTGTGTGTAATATGTGTCTTCTAAGTGGGTAAAGGAAAACAAGAGATAGTGAACTCCTGATGGGATCCACTAGAGGTTGATAAGTTAGAGGTTGTCATTTGAGGACTATTGATCTTGCTAAAAATCACAATGATAAAACTACCCAACCATCCTTACCAAATGTATGCTCATTGCTAATCCCCCTTCCTCCACCTTGCTTGGCATCCATGATGTACTTGATACACTCCTCCAAGGTCAAATATAAAACAGGTTTCTTTTTCACAAGCAGGACAGGCTCGTTGGCAGACACGGCACAGCAGAATCTCTCCACATGGAGTGCACAGAAATAACTATGCAGACCTCCTTCGTCATGGACTTCTAGGAATTTGCATGAGTAATTAATCTTCGCTTTCTCCTTACAGAAATGATAGACGGGCAGCCTGCTAATATGCTTTTCGATTTCACTTTCTATCTTCGAGAAATAACGCTGCTTTCCTTCAGGACCACTTCTTTCTATTTCCTGGGCATTTAAACCAACGAACAAATATCCGCCATCAGTATTTCCAAATGCAGAAACAGATCGAGCGACAATCTCCTTAATGCGCTGTAGCGCCTTTCTTGTTGAAAAAAATTTCATCTCAACGTTTGTGGATTCAGTCAACTCCAAATGTTTTTTGTGTATAGGTTCCGTCATGTTAAAAAGTTCAGCAGCCTTCTTTTCTACGTCAATTTCTTCTTGTACATAGTTGGGGGCCCTCTTTCTGTGCAACTGTGATCTTGAGTTCGAGCGGCTTCTACTTTTTCTCTCTCTGAGGAAGTCCAGTGCACTGGAAGCATTCATGACAACTGTATGTGTTACATTTCTTTGGTACAAATTTGTTTGCAAGGTGAAAATACTCATACCTGAGCTATTCTCAATCCATGGTTTCAATAAATTCAGGATTTCCTCAGGATCCTGCATGGACTCAAGGTCATTCTGAGCACATGACTGGATATTATGCAAAGATTGGTCCAAATCTTGTCCTATTCCATCTTTGTTATCGTCTTTCCTCTCAATTTCAGGCTTCATCACTTTTCCTCCAGAATTCGATAAAGCACTCGTAGCTTCTGAGAGAGAGTCATTCTGCCTTTTTCTCAGTCGACGATCCTCCATTTCTATCTCATTCTTCACTCCA